CCTTGCGGACTCAGGGCGGCTAACAACCAGATAAAAACACTAATCCCCAAAAACTACAGATTAAAAACATAATTAAAAAACAAATATTGGTAATTTGGTCTAGTTAATTTAAAAATTGCTTTAAAACCCCCATTAAAATTTTCCCCTAGGCCAGTCCTGCAAGTTGGAATAACCATGTCTTAAGGGCGCGGCAACTTAACAACTACATAGATTCTCTTTTAGACAATCTTTTCCTAACTTTATAGACTTCCCAAGGGAGATCTGCCTTCACATAATATACCCCAATATCGATGCATTAACCAGATCTTGCCAAAAGTGATTCTCGGTGGTGCGAAACAATTGGACAACGGTTCCTTTAGTGACCGTTCACAGTTACAACAGCACTGAAAAAAAGGGGCTTACGGCCGTTTTTCACACGTACGACTATTGTAGCACTCCCATGGTCACAGAATCAAAATTCAGATACTCGGCAACTGGTTCACATTTAGGACGGTTGCATTACCCCAAGGTCATGTTTTCATCTTGTGCGACCTTCTGACGAGCAAAGTCAATGAGGAAACCAGGGTCAACTTTGAAAATGAGCACGGCTCTGGCCATCTTCCCTATTTTCGGTTGACCTATAGAAAGGAGGGAGGGGAGTTGCCAGCTGCTTCGCTACTCTAAATAAACTTTTGTCCCATGGGAACCAAGGTCATCGGCTGCTCCCGAGATTGCAGGCTGGGCGTTTTGTGCAAAGCCTGCCAAGAAAGTGTACTGGGGAACATAGTTGCTTGCATAGCCTTAGGGGTGAGATTTCTTAACTTTGCCTTGGGGAATTGTGAGGTGTGTCTTCAGACTTGGTTTCGCTTTTGATCCTGCCGATGCTTTGCAACTAATAAACCTGCTCTTGGAGGAATTTCCCTGCCCCGGAGTTCTGCTTTATTGGTCTCTTGTCTGTCGGAACCATGACATTCCGATTTACTTAATCGCCGTATTAACTTAAAATTAACCTCTGCTGTGATTCACTTAGTAAAACTCGCTTAACAACTGTCTGGCTTAGCAATGGAAATTTGGAGGGTCCGTTTTGGCCGTTAAGTCGAGGATTCCTTGTGTTATGTAGTTGGGACATGTAGATAAGCGTCTTAAGACATGTTTTTACTAGATCNGAATTCTGGGAGTTGAAGTCCACGAGTCATGAAGGGGCCATAGTTCCCCCATGCTGGCTGAGGAATTCTGGGAGTTGAAGTCCACGAGTCATGAAGGGGCCATAGTTCCCCCATGCTGGCTGAGGAATTCTGGGAGTTGAAGTCCACGAGTCATGAAGGGCCCATAGTTCCCCCATGCTGGCTGAGGAATTCTGGAAGTTGAAGTCCACGAGTCATAAAAGAGCCAAGGTTGCCTACCCCTGGCCTAGATGGATCTTTCAATAAAGCTACACTCTTGGTCCATCTAAAGAGCCGGGAGTTTCTTTCGTTCACGATGGCAAACGGGACGGTTGACATGGGCAAATGCTGGCAGAAAAGTAGCAAGAATGTTTTTTTCACCTTGGAAAAGTATTTGTGGAAGAAAACAAAATGTGTTTATGGGCGAAGTTCCTCTATGGAAGGGAGAGTTAGTTCTGCCAGGAGAAATAACAAAAAAGTTCAAGGGTGTATAGTTAAAAACCGAGAAGAAATAGGTCCCGAATCAATCGACTTGAAACAATGCAGGTGGAATATAAAAGTGAATACAGGTCGTCCTCAACTTACAACAGTTTGTTTAGTGACCGTCAAAGCTATGACACTGAAAAAAGTGACTTATGAAGGTTTTTCACACTTAGGACTGTTGCAGCATCCCCAGGGTCATGTGATCAAAATTCAGATGCTTGACAACTGACTCATATTTATGACGGTCGCAGCGTCCCGGGGGAGGGTCACGTGATCCTTTTTTGTGACCGTCTGACAAGCAAAATCAATGGGTGAAGCCAGTTTTGCTTAACAACCGCGTCACTAACTTAAATGCAGCGATTCACTTAACAACTGGGGCAAGAGAGGTCGTAAAAGGGGGCAAAACTCAACTTAACTGTCTCGTTTAGCAGCAGAAATTTTGTGTTCGATTGTGATCGTACGTTGAGAAGTATCTGTAACCAGCATGAAAAAAAAAATTGGTCAAGATGATTTGGTCACCCTACAGGGAACAAACCAGAATCGGACGAAGGAGGGAAGCGTTGCGAGGAAGGGTACCCTGAGAGAGACACGGTGGAATAGCGTTGTTGAAAGATGAAGCGGTGAGGACAGAAAAGACACGGAATGAAGCGATGGCCCGCACCAAGTAGAAAGTGAAAAGATCGTGAGTGGGATTGATGTTAAGGGAGACCACACCTGGAATACTGCAGCCAATTTTGGTCACCATACTACAAAAAAGATGTTGAGACCTTGGAAAAAGTTCAGAGAAGAGCAACTAAGATTATTAAAAGCCTGGAGACTAAAAAATACGAAGAACGGCTGCGGGACTTGGGTTTGGCTAGTCTAAAGAAAAGAAGAAAGAGGGGAGACATGACAGCAGTGTTCCAGTATTTGAGGGGCTGCCACAAAGAAGAAGAGGTCAAATTATTCACCAAAGCACCAGATGGAAGGACGAGAAACAATGGTTGGAAACTGATTAAAGAGAGAAGCAACCTGGAATTAAGGAGAAACTTCCTGACAGTGAAGACAATCAACCAGTGGAACAGCTTGCCACCAGAGATCGTGGGCGCTCCATCACTGGAGGTTTTTAAGAAGAGACTATAAAATCACCTGTCTGAGATGGTATAGGTTCTCCTGCTTGAGCAGGGGGCTGGACTAGAAGACCTCCAAGGTCCCTTCCAGCTCTATTCTATTCTATTCTATTCTATTCTATTCTATTCTATTCTATTCTATTCTATTCTATTCTATTCTATTCAAGTTAGTTTTAGCTCTATTTCTTTTATTTCCTCATGTGTTTACTGTTCGGCTATTTACTACACCCTCTCTGTGTGCAACACAACACTGCATACCCCTAATAGAACATTCAGATGGGTATGTTTAAGTACAGGTAATCCTCGACTTACAGCAGTTCATTTAGTGACTGTTAGAACTGACAGCGGCCTTGAAAAAAGTGACTTATGGTCGTTTTCCACAACCGTTGCAGCAGCCCCAGCGTCATGCGATCAAAATTCAGATGCTTGGGAACTGACTCATACTTACGACGGTTGCAGCGTCCCGGCGTCACGTGATCCCTTTTTGTGACCTTCCGACAAGCCAAAATCAATGGGGGAAGTCGGATTCACCTAACAACCGTGTTACTAACTGAACAATGGCAGTGATTTGTTTAACCGCTGTGGCAAGGAAGGCTGTAAAATGGGGCAAAACTAACTTAACAACTGTCTCACTTAGCAATAGAAATGTTGGGGGGGTCAATTGTGGTCTTTTAAGTTGAGGACTACCTGCATGTTTATTGAAGTATGTTTATTTCTGGGCCTGCAACTCACCGCTAAGAAAATTAATCAGGTTAACAATACATCCACATCCCGTTCTTAAAAGCACTCACAATATCCAAAACCTGATCCCACAAAATGAAATGATTAAAATTGGGCATAATTGCCCGGACAAATCTGGCAATTAAATATATTTCAGAGCAGAACATTTAAAATATGGCTTTCCAAACAGGTTTAAAAGCACATTCTCTTGTTTTCGTTTATGTTATTCAGAGCTTGCCTGAACCGTTGTTCAGATCATTGTTTAAACTTAAATATAAATTCCAGATATACAGTTCTGTTTTTTTAAAAGCATAGCCCTCAAATCAGTTTTATTGCCACCTCAAAAGACCGGTTAAGTCCTTTTTTCCAGTAATCATCCTTGGCCATTCACCTGAGAATTTAATACAGCAAAAACTAATTTGTTCTTCAACTGAGCAATTCAGAGCATGTGGTAGAAAAATTATTCAAGTGCAGTCATGGAAAAAAGAATAGCATTCACTGCGTTTAGTTTTTTAAAAAAATATTTCAACCTCTGCATAGTGTTCTCTTTTGTTGTTGTTTTTTTTAAGGGAAAGCTAGCAGGGTAAAAACAGTTTGGCTAGAACAATGTTTTATTAGAATTATTTAACAAAAAATATTTAAGACATCTATACAGCTTAACATCCAATCTGACAAAAAAAAAAAAAGCAAAACTGAAGAGCAAAATACAAAAAAAAAAAACCACCCCCTAAGTTAAAAAGTGCACTATTCAATCCAGTATTTTGTTTTGTCGTTTGTAGCCACGTACGGAAAAAATAAAATCCGAATTAATATAACTATTTGCACATCTGTTCCTGTTTCACACATCTGGGGCTGGAAGGAGACTTCTTAGCGTTACAGTCAGTTGTCAGGCAGGTATATTGAAATAAATCCTACTGAATTTCAACGGATTTTACACAAGACGCAGGCGGAGACAAAGTTGGCAATATTTTTTCGCAGCAAAAAATTACTCAATTTTTTTTTGGGTGTTCCGTGAATATTTCCTCCTCTTAAACAAAGGCATGTATTGATAGAAGTCATGTATCGCCCCATTTCGGTGGATACAAAAAAAATTGGATACAAAAAAAAACTGTGACTGTTGTGAGCGAGCTATCCTGATTAAAACTTCCAAACAGGACAATTTTCACAATAAAACTTAAGGCCATGTTTTATTTGCTGATCAATGGACAAAAAAAAGGCAGTGAGTTTTCTTCCTAACCCCCCCC